AGACCGCTGCTACCCAAACAACCTGCGGGAGGGGACTGCCCCAGGGACCGGAGCCTCGCCACGTGTCCTTCCCCTGTTCCAGGCAGCAAAGCCGCTTCTTGCACATGAGCAGAGAAAGCTCTTTGTAAATGCTGATGCTGAGCAGCTGCTGCATCTGCATCGCTGACCCCACTTGACCGCTGGTGGGCCTCAACCTCGCAGCAAAGAGATCTGAGCTGTCCTGGGCACGACAGCGTCCACAGCAAAGTCACTGTGTATCGCTTCTTCTGGGGCTGTTAGTGATGAAGTCATTCCTTCCCCTTCTGCTGAGGGGCAGGAGGCGGCTCTGGCTCCCGTGGCTGCCTCGTCTCAGGAGTCTGAAGAATATCTAGTGCTGCCGAATCGATAGGGCTGCCTGGGCACCCGTAATTGGGTAGCAGGCGATTCCCGGCAGGCTTGCCTCTCTCTGTCTCGCGAGCTGCTGTCAAGGGTGTCGTGTTTGATAAATGAGCTAGTTTATAAATGCAGATTTGAATTTTGGCTACAAGTTTTTTTCCATGGAGCCAGAAATTGGGCGATGCTTCAGGAGGACAGCAGTAGATTGCAGATTTTGGAGCATTAATTTGCTTTTCAAAACTATCTGGCTCCCAACCTTGCATCAGGAACGCCTTACTGTTGATTTGGAAACTGAGCAATTGTTTTACTCTTGCTGACTCTGATAGTATCTTCTAATGTCCTGCAGCACCGCACACGCGGCTGGAGTCCTCTCCTCCTCGGGATTATGGGGTGTATGGGGTAAAGCTGTGCCCGCAGGGAGCCTCCCAGCAGAGCTGCTGGTGTGATCTGGTGGGATTTCAGGCAGCGCCGAGCTCCCCTGTTCCTGACACGGCATGACCCTTTGTGCCCGATCCCTGAGGTGTGCACTGGACCTGGGGAGGTGACGGCATGCCGTGCCGAGGGGCTGCCGGTGGGCACCGTGCCAGCTGCCAAGGAGGGGGTGGCTTGGCAACACTTGGGCAGGAGGGAAGCCCCCACCGCTGCTCGGGCAGCGCTGCCTGCTCAGGCCTGGGTGGTTTGGGCGGGGGAGCCTGTGGAAACACCCAGCAGAGCTGTGTCTGCTGCCTGCAGTGCAGGGGAGGGGAGTTTCTGCTCTGGACTTTCTCGCAAGCAGCTTTCCCCCTGGTTACAGCTGTGCTCCATCGTGTCCCATCGGACTTTCCATCTGCAATATCTTTGCTCAGACTAAAGGGAAGATAAGACTCTTCTCCCAGAAGACAGACCCTTTTTGACTTAATCTAAGGAAAGATCAGCCTGATTGAATTTAATTTGTCAAAGCTGCAATCCGATCACAAGCAGTCGAGGTTGCCTGCAGGTTTGCTCACCCTTCTTCTGCTCCTGCTCCCCGAGGAGATGCTCCGGCTCCCGGAGCCGGGGTGATGCTGCCGAGTCTGGCGGCTGCACCGCTCCCTGCGGGCATCCCCCCTGGTCCCTCGGGGCCGCAGCAGCTGAGCCCAAGGGGACCCAAAAGGAGAGCTCGGCGCTGGATCTGGCTGCTGTGCTGGTGCTTTCTGGTGCCTGCTCTCCCCTGTTCGCGGCTGTTTCGTTGCTATTTCCACTCTCCGTGGAAAGGACCGTCCCCGTGCTCCCACCTCTCCCAAAAGAAGGATGCAGATCAGTGCAATTCTGCTTACCAAGGTGCAAGAGGAAACAAAGCAGCTTTAAACTGTTTAAAACTGAGGGCAAACAACAAATCATCCTATCAGAAAGTGAAAATAATCTTGAGTTGATCCTTCAGCCTGCCTTGTCCATTAGAGCTGTATTTGCTTTGCATTGATAACTCTATGTCATTTCTCATGTAATGTCCATGTCTGCACGTATTCAGTTTTAATTCTGTTTTTAATCACTATTTTCACACTTACTCGTGGCACACAGGGAAGTTGTCAATTGTTGGGTATTTTTATAGTTTCAATACTGAATTTAATCCTTTTTCTCTTCCCCAGTAAGAGATGCTAAAAACCTAGTTCCTATGGATCCTAATGGCTTGTCAGATCCCTATGTGAAGCTTAAACTAATCCCTGACCCCAAAAATGAAAGCAAACAGAAGACCAAAACTATCAAGTGCTCCCTGAATCCTGAGTGGAATGAGACATTTAAATTGTAAGTACAAGGAAAATGTTTAAACTTGTAAACTAATTTTTCTCACCCCTAAGAATTAATGTGATTGTATTTGCTCTGATTTAATTATTCAGAGACATTAAGCTGATTAAACCTCTGCCCTCACCCCTGATCAAAGCCGAGTGTTTCAGGGCAGGAACTCTGCATTCTCCGTTTGAAACGGATGTGGTCGGGAAATTAAATATTAAGAGAGCTGAACGGTCATTGAAGACCATCCCTTCATTTTGCATCCGTGTTCTTATGGAGTGTGGAGGGGCATGGTGGTGTAGCAATGGCTTCCAGAATAAAACCATCCCTTTTTCTTTTCCTCTCTTCCAGCCACTGAAAGGAGGCGGACAAAGACAGGC